ATCTGCCACTCCCCCACCGCCACCGATGGAGGAAACAGAAGTGTGAGCGCTAACTAAACTAGCATCAGCAGCCAAGTACTGCCTGTGTGTTCTGGACACTTCCACCCCGTCAGAGCGCTGCCCCGGGGTGGAAGTGGCCCTTCAACCATCAAGCCCTCCTTGTATCTTGACCTCCGTCTTGACAATCCGACATAAAAGAAAGTTTTACATTTAGTGTCGGATTATCGAGTCACGGCTGTAATTTGATTTCACTGCTCATCAGCAAAGTGCTTTAATTAGTCTAGGACAGTTTTTTTTTAAAATTATTCTTTTCAGCCACAATTCAAAAGAAATGTCTTATTTCACTAAATGATAATTTAGCAAAGTTTCCTTTATTATTACTTTTTTCAGTTTCTAATCATTTGAGTGACTTTTGTGAATTTTGCCTTTTCTTGAATGAAAATGTTCTTTTATTAATAATTTTGAGGACGACTGTACGTGTCTAAGAACTGGATCAAGGCAGTATTTTGTCATTTATTTTGCTTCGTTGTTGACATTCACTATAGTTTTTTTGGACTTGAAGTACAGCGAGCAGCTAAAGATCACTTTTACAGGTTGATGTATTGACTTTATTACCTGATTAACTGCTTATCCATGAACCACCAGAAGAGATTTAAAATGTCTTATCACAATTTCTCAGTCTGAAGACACCAAGATCCAACAAGAAAGCAGAAAAAAAGCAGCAGTCCGTCATATTTTTAGAGCTGAACTTGCAGCAGCATTTGTCAAAACGAGACAGTTTTTGAATAAGCACATTGATTTGCTTTGATTCATGCGTTTCTGTTGGCGACACTGGTGTTCCCTCTGGTCTTCTGCAATTGATTGGATTAAATTAATTATTCAGTCCAGCTTTTAAACACTAAAGCAGAGAGACAAATCCAGAAATAGGCTGACATTAGGCGCCAATGTTAATAATAATGTCTTAAATTAGTAAGAAAAACACTTCAGCACCATAGAACTGTGCTCAGAAATGCGTTGGGTGACGTTCGACGCCTGCTGTCGCTCCACATAACGTGTGATCAACAGTTGGCATGCAGCGTCGGGGTGAAGCACCTCCTCGTGACACATTTCCCTCCAAGTTTTCATTACCGAAGGGTCAAGACTGATCTGAGCTTCTCGTGGTGCGACACGTTACCGGCAGCCGTCACGTTCGGATTGTGTTTCTGTGCAGGTTGGGGAACAAGACGGAGCTGTTCTCGGATCTGTCCGGCTTCCCGGTGCTGCAGGAGAGGACGGAGCAGATCCAAAGCGTCCTCGGTGAGATTCAGGACCACCGCAGAGAGGTCCGGCTGACGCTGAAGGCCCCCGCACTCGACTACACGGCCGTCTCTGGACAGGAGGTGTGTGTTTGTTTGAGGCTCCGAGTGAAGGAAAGGTGGGAGGAGATTGATGGCTGTTTGGGCGGTAGATGATCTGGTGTGTGTGTGTGTGTGTGTGTGTGTTATCTGTTTGTGTGCCAGTTTTAATCAAGAGTGACACATTGTTTTGCCTGTCTGCTGCGGTCTTATTTATCAAAGTCTCGCTCCTCCTCTGCCCTCAGTTTCTGATTGAGGTGAAGAACTCGCTGTCATCCGCTGTTCCACGTGACTGGGTCAAAATCAGCAGGTCAGCTCGCTCACACGCTCACAGCCACCGACACACATCAGGTTCTGTTTTTAATAAAACACGACAGCAGCAGCGATTGTGAAATGTGTTCTATGGTGGTAAAATATTACCTCTGAATTAACTTTTTAGCTGCACGTTTCAGAGAAAATAGAGGCGATGATGTTTTATGCAATATCTCAGAAATTAGTGATGGAGAAAAATGTGTTAATGACATATCAGTGAAATCATCACCACAGAAAATCAATGTTTCTGACTGGTTTTAAGATAAATGTACTCATTAATTCAGGATCATATCTAATCACGGTGCTGAAATGTGGTTTACTATAATAAATGCAAATCCAAAAACACATGTGACAGGTTAAAATGAGGTCACTTGTTGTGACAANTGACTCAGGGTGAAGGCAGGTTCACCTGGACAGGTAACCAGTCTATCACAGGGCTACACTTAGAGACAGACAACCAAGCACACTCACATTCACAACTACGGACAATTTAGAATCACAAATTAACCTCAGCATGTTTCTGGACTGTGGGAGGAATTTGGAGAACCCGGAGAGAACCCACGCTGCACGGGGAGAACATGGAGACTCCACGCAGAAAGATCCTGGATGTCCTCACCAGGATGCGAACCGGCGACCTTGTAGCTGCGAGGCAATGGTGCTACCCACTGCTCCACCTCAGTAACTTTATTTTTACTGAATTGGGCTGAACTGCAGGCTGTGAGCAGACAGGAGATAAATGTGGAAACAAATTAAAAATGTTCAGTAGTATTTATCAGTGTTGGTAACACCTGAGGGCTCTTAAATAAATGCTGCACATGTTGACTACAGGTTTTTTCCCCCAGTTTTTCTAAAATAGGTAATCAAAGACCTTCAAGTTTATTTATTTTTTCTTTTTTATGATATATGACAGTCTAACTGTGTGTACATTCGTCAACTTTGAATGAACTCTCTCTCCTTCCAGCCACGGTTTTGTTGTTTAAATAGATGTTTGGGACTTTATACTGGAGTGAAAAACGCAACAGGAGCAAAAAAAAAAAAACAAAACGCCCCAAACTGCTTGAGTTTCAGAGGGTTAGGAAGTACATCCCCGCATAAAATCCTAATCATACATGTGTAATACAGGAAATCAGTTGTGAGTCTTGGGGGGGGCGACGGCGTTTTGTTTTCTCGCTGTGATATTGTGATGAGTCGCGGACGGTGCTGCTGCTAATGAGTGGTGTTCCTCAGAGCGTTTGGCTGCGATAGATGGTCGCTTTTTAAGCTTGGCTGACACATCCAGCGCAGATGAGATTTAGTGATGTAATCTTGCTGCCTTACAAAATCCCTCCAGTAAAGCAACACACACACACACACACACACACACACACACACACACACACAAATCCACAGGACTACAGAGAAAATGATTTTGTAGGAGAATAAAGAACGTATTTGTTATTTCTGTTCCATGAATTTCCCTTTTCATCAGCTGTTGCTCTGATCACTACTGAGATCTCCCAGAACTACTGTTGCTCAACTATTTATGTCCGATCAAACATTAATCGTATCTATGTGTGTGTTTGTGTGCTCCAGTCTTCCACGCAGGAGTTTTACCTCATTAGCAGCAGCCTCTCTCGCCTGGGACTGGAGCTGCAGACGTTGCTTCCAGCTATCCACTCGCAGATCGACTCCAAACTGCTCCGAAGCCTCTTGGTGGACACTCCCGACCTGCTGGTCCCGGCNGTGACACTCTCGAATCGCGTTTCAAGTGGCTGATGTTGGTAATTCATGTTGCTGACATGAGCCTGGGCAACAAGTTGTGCAGAAAAACAGGCGGGCCACACTAACGCTAAACTTTGATGTCAAGTAGGGGGCCACAAAATATTGTCCTGCGAGTTTGAGACCCCTGCTTTAATGGGATAAGAGAAGAAAAAACACTTATGCATCACAAAATTGATTTTATTTATTCATAAACCACACGTATGCAACCAGTGAGTGTGGCTAACACATGGGCATTACTTTGTTTTCAGGAGACACGATCTCCAGCACTTGTTAAAGCTCAATATGTGGTATTATTTTTTCTTAAAGAACGACTGACAACACTTTTCATTCGTCCTGTCAATCCGTCTTCTTGCTTCCTCTGCAGCACCAAGGCAGTCAGCAGGTATCACTCTCCGTTCCTGGTTGACCGCTACAAGAAGCTGCTGCAGCTCCGAGAGCAGCTGCTGCTCGACTGCCAGAGGGAATGGACCAATTTTCTGGAGTATGACACACACACACACACACACACACACACCTGATCGTAAAGTCAAATGAAAAACTGCTAAGAACATGTCAGTGTGAGGTTCAGAGTTGTGCCTCCGCAGCTCTCCGCCTGTCAGAATGAGCCTGTTTTAGTCAAGTGTACCGTCAGAGCTGTCTACTCTGAACACGCTATGCACTTACCTTAATTTACACTTGAAAATCTCTTTCCTCTCTCTCTCTCTCTCTCTCTTCTCTCTTCGTAGTCAGTTTGGGGAGCACTACCACACCATGAAAAGGGCTATTAGTCACCTAGCAACCGTGGACTGTCTCCTGTCATTGGCTGAGGTGGCCAAACAAGGGGACTATTGCAGGTGATGTCCTCTCATGATGACCATAAATATTGATGGATGTGTGTGTGAGGCTGCAGTGTGTGTGTGTGTGTGTGTGGGATACGGTGTGTGTGTGTGGGGGGGNAATTCCACAAAAACGACATGAAAGCCACAAGTAGAGGTTCTGCAAAGAGGAGCGGGACAAACGTCCACACGGTGAAGTCAGAGGTGGATGTGCAGTAATCAGAAGCGTCTGGTTGAATTAGTTGGATTTTGCTTTTACTTAAGTTCCCTTTTTGTTAAGTTCAGTGGAGACGATCAGTTTGCTGTGATTTGGGCACAAAAACAGAGAAAAATCAGAGAACTTCTTCAGAGCACTTCAGCTGCAATCACTGCTGTCACAGATGTACAAACTGTCTCTGAGTTTATGAAGAAGCCAATCAGAGGCAATTTGGCACTTTGTTGAAGGTTCAAATTATCATTCTGGAAAAAGTTCTCCTCAATCAGGACTCATTCAGGTCCTCAAATGACGAGTTTCTTTTGCTGATGATTGAACTTTTTATTTTTTACTCTTCCTTCCTGTCGTCTTCACTTCTTTCCTTTACTTTCCTCCACAGGTGTATCTCGGAGAGGCAGGACGCCGTGCAGGAAATCCTGCAGTCGGACTCTCTCACTTTGAATTCCATCAGATCTCTGCTGTCACATCTGCCCGACCTGGAGAGAGGCGTCTGCAGCATTTACCACAAGAAGGTAATGGAACGCACGCAAATGCACACGTCTCCATCCCCCCGGGGAGGATATTTATTCTAATATTTTCCACAACCTTTGTCTTATTTCTGCGGAGCCGGTAATCGTTCCTGTCAGATATAATAACACTTGACTCACATTCTTAGATCTGTGGGTGTAGTGACACCGCAGCGCAAACTGAAACTAGAAAAATCTGACACGGGAGGTGAAACGCAGAACTCCGTTTTCATGTCAGTTTGCATAAAAAAATGAAAGACAATTTNGGTTTTTTTTGGCCTTTTTGCCTTCATTAGATAGGACAGTCAAAGGAGAGACAGGAAAGTGGGGGAGAAGAATGGGGGAAGGGTTGCAGCAAAGGGCCATGAGCGGGATTCGAACCCACGGCCGCTGCATCGGAGACTAAAGCCCCTGTGCATGGGTCGCCAGGTGAGCTATAGCGGCGGCCCGGATAAAAGTGTTTAACAGTGCAGTATCACTGTATGTTAGATTTAAATCATGATGGAGAATCACTGCAGAAGTGTGACTGTCTCACAAAGAAGCAAAACAAACAGTTTAATAAGACGTACATCCTAAATTGCAGCCGCTGCAATTTGCCGTTGTTTGAAATTGCGGATTTGATTAGAAGTTATCAGTTAATTGCCCTAAAATGGATACATGTCATTAAAATTTACAGACTATTGGCAATCAAGCAGCCGTTTCGACAACACGGGCGTTGAAAATAATAATACAAATGAGAACAATTTCATTTAATGGATGTGAGGTGATGACAGGAATAAAAATCTCACTTTGCATTTAACTCACGAGCTGCAGCCTTGATCTTTATACCAGCTATTTATTTACGTCCGTACTTACCTTATAGCTATATGTCTGTATCAAGGTGATCGCTGAACATCGAGACAAATCAAAGCCGTCTGACAGCAGTCTGTCTGGCATTAGTAATAACTTCCATCTCCTCTTCAGACCAGCTGCAGTGGCTCTTTATTTCCTTTAGAAAGCTCCACATGTGACAGGCAGAAGGTGTTCGATTACATCCTGCTGGTGCTTTGTGAAATACATATTTACCTGAAATTACTGAGCCTAAATAAACATCTTTTTGAATATATGAAACTAATCCTAGAACTAGAAATGCTTGGATTGAAAGTATTGATATGTTAGTATTGATTCTGACACCAACACAGTTTCTACAAGCTGTCCTCTCATTTGACTTTAAAATCTGCAAGATATTGTGAGGTCAAGGGCCGCAAGGTGGAGCAGTGGTTAGCACCATTGCCTCGCAGCTAGAAGGTCGCCGGTTCCATTTCTGCGTGGAGTCTCCATGTTCTCCCCGTGCAGCGTGGGTTCTCTCCGGGTTCTCCGGCTTCCTCCCACAGTCCAGAACCATGTTGAGGTTAATTGGTGATTCTAAATTGTCTGTAGGTGTGAATGTGAGTGTGCTTGGTTGTCTGTCTCTAAGTGTAGCCCTGTGATAGACTGGTTACCTGTCCAGGTGAACCTGCCTTCACCCTGAGTCAGCTGGGATAGACTCCGGCCCCACATGACCCTACTGAGGATTAAGCGGTGTGTAGATGATGGATGGATTATGAGGTCAAGCTTTAAGACTTGGTCCCAACCAATTTATTTTTGTCTGATTTTGGTCCTGAGTCTACAAAACATAGTTTTCTTCTAACATCCTCTTCAGTATAAAGCGCCCCTTAAGCAGAACAGCTGATCTTGTATTTTCCGTTTTGTCTAATCAAGCAGATCAACGCCCTCCAAATTAACTGCTTTTTAATATTTTTAAGACTGCATAGAAACCAGTTTGCCATCGTAATCACACACTGAGCTGTAAACATTTAATCTATTTATTGTAGCTCCTCCGATCGCTGGAAAACATTCAGGGTTCAGTTCAGCCTTGTGTACGACTCAGAAGTTCAGACGCGTCACGCTCCGAGTTCAGTCTCAGTTCAGACCTTCTCGCCTCACTGCTTCCTGCATCGTCTGTTCACCTCTTTCATGTGTTGCTCGCTAATATTTTTCCTCTTGCCGTTATTCGGCGCACAATGCTGCACATGTAAGCTGTGTTTTGTGTGTCCAGACAGACGGTGGTGTGAGGGGAAGTCTGCTGTGGGTGCTGGACCACACTCGCACTCCGTTTGGGAAGAGGCTGATGAGGAAGTGGGTGAGCCGGCCCCTCGCGGACCCGCAGTGAGTACAGGATGGCCTCGGCCCTCTGATGACTGTTACAGCTCCACCGATTCAGATTCGTTCTCAGTTCGCACAGTTTAACCGTTTGCTTTGTGAGGCTCAGAACCGTAGCGAGGGCTCTGATTCAGGCCTCTCTTTAGGCAGCACTTATCCTGCTTTAACGTCATCTGGAACGACTTGTTGAGATGGGAAAGATTCACACAAGTTTTCACGTCATAGTAAATCAGGGTTTAATCACCTGGAACAGCAGAAATCCTCTGACGTGAGGTTGATGTAACATTTTCAGCTGGAAATTCTACATCTGCGGTTAAGAAAAATTCAGATTTTCTTGTTGTAATTACTGCCTAAAGTAACTCTTAGTGTTGAAGAGTAATGCGGTGGGCTGCCGTCTGCTCTGTGACCCGCATAAACGAGCTCACATGAAATTACATCCACTTCCTAATTAGAAATTCTCTAAAATCGCATCTGAATACGTCAGCGTTGTTGGAGAGAAAGCCAAAATGTGAACACGCACTTACTGGTTTTACCCGACAGAGCAGCTGTTCCCTTTTTTCCAGAAACACTTCAGAGTGAAAATGAGTTTTGGAGGCGAGTCGGACTCACGGTGCTGCTGCTACAAACAGCCTCTCGGGTTTGATATGAAAGCGCTTCTCCATTTCTCTGCAGTGTCGTTTTCTGATCCATATATCGACTGTGTGAGTGTTTTTTCCTCCCTCTGTGGTGCTATGCAGGGATTATAGCTGTGGATTGGGCGCTGCTCTCAGATTATACAGATAGCTCCTCTCCAGAATTTCAATATGAATAAAACCCGGATTACGCTCTGGCACGTTAATTCCAAGACACACAACATGGACACACACAGTTGACTGCAGGCTGTCATGCATGACGTCTGATTTATTGAGATCGACTTGATTTTTCCTTTTTTTTTTCTGTTTTTTATATTGTGTGTGTCTGTAATAGAAAACCTCAGCAGGAGTTTATGCCATTTTCATAAACTCTTACGTTTAATATTTCAGCTGGACTCACTTTAAATTGCACTGTAAAAATGTTTTAAATCAATAAACACATGCTAATACGATCAGAATCTGCAGAGCCACGGATTATGTAAAGTTCAGGCACAAACTGAACCTGCTTTAGATTTACAGATATTTATATATAAAAAACACATCAGATTATATATTACAGCACAAAACAAATGCAATCTAAAGCTCAAAATGCACGTTTTAAGTGATAAATGTATGTATTGTAGGTAAAATGTTGTCTAATAGGAACTTATATTCCTCCCAAAACTCTACCGAGCTGCTTTGATAAGTGGTTGCAGCTGAATGAAACACACCAGGTCTGATATCCATCCATCCATCCATCCATCCATCCATCCATCCATCCATCCATCCATCCATCCATCCATCCATCCATCCATCCATCCATCCATCCATCGTCAGAAGTTTACCTTTAGGACACTCAAACAAAACCAAAGAAGCTCTACAAGAGACGAGGACTAAAGTGAGCAGATTTGAGTCGATAGTCGACCTTCCTAAAAGTGGCCGATATGGAAAATCAGCTCATCCATCAAGAGATCAACGGAACACATTCGAGGAACGTCCAGCCTCCGTCACCTCAATAAATGTTAATGAATCCACCATCTGAAAGCTAAAATGTCATTTAGCGNCTTCTCTACTTGCTCCGTATCTGCTTGATGTGGCAGCACCAGGCCAACGATGTGTTCTCAACAGCAGCATTTGCACAATAATGTTCCTACTAATAGACAGAATTAAACGACTACGAAAAGTCACCTTGATGACGCGACTTTTATTTCGGGCATGACATTCGTGAACTCTGATTGGTTGAGTTCGTTTCGCCCGTACAGCGTCTTGAATGACGTCATGTTGCAGCAGGAACTGAACCAGGTTGAACTCCTTCCCGGACGTCCCTGCGTTGCTTCGCTGGCTGTTCCAGCCTCAGCCTCTGAGTCAATAGGTCGGCTCCGTTCAGAGGACTGAGAGGTTTTCCACGCAGGGCTACCATCAGTCTGAATTAAGCCTAACAGTGGAAACAAGGGAAGAGGTTCCCGTTTTAAGGGCTGTGATTCTTTGCAAGGTTGCAAAATAAATCAGAGCTCTAAAGATAAAAAAAGAAGATAAAAAAAAAAATCCAAATATGAAGTGATCCTCCTGACAAGCACTCATGGTATGACTACAGAACTCATCAAGGAAACCACGCTCTGGTATTAACATGTGTCTTGGGTGATCACAAGTGGACAGGACTTTGATGAGGATTTATGGAGATCTGATTGCTTCGGCCACATCCGGAGGTGGTCTGAGCTGCATATTGTTTTAGCAGTGTTTATGTGTCCTGGGCCTCGCTTGAAGGACCGCCTACCGCTCAAGAGAGAACACGCTGAGTCGAGTGCCAGCAGCTTTGAATTAAAGTGCTCCGACAAAAGACATGCGTTACGTCAGACTTCTTGGTTGATTTTCCAGGAATCCTGCATTGTTTTAGTTTCTTTTAATTATAAGCGGACCAGGCATTGGGAAGTCCACTGCTGCCTCCTACCTGTTAGAAACATTTGGTCTCTGCAAGCAGAAAATGAAACACAAGTTTATTTACATGTAGAGTGAGGAAGTGAGATCCAATCACGATGGGGGAACACTCGGAGCTGTCAACCATAGATCGCATCACCAAAGACACATATCCATCCATCCATCCATCCATCCATCCATCCATCCATCCATCCATCCATCCATCCATCCATCCATCCATCCATCCATCCATCCATCCATCCCCCAATACCGATGGAGCTACCACGACTCGCTGCCATTTAGAGCGGTGCCATCCTGGATGTTGACCTTTTAGAAAGATTTGTTGATTTTACCCTTTAATGCAGGGCTCTCAAACTCATCTTACCGGGGGGCCACTTGAGGTAGAGTCTGGCTGAGGCTGGGCCGCATCACGTATTCCACAAAAAAAGGGGCTTCAAGTACAACCGATCCAATCTTCTCAATCTTTATTAGTAACAACTCAGAACATGAACGGTTCTTCAGAACATAGGCTTACCTAGTCCTGGCAGCGCTTCTTCTTACACAGCTGAGCCACATTTGGTTTGAGGGAGGAAGCAGTTGAGACCCTCGGTATGGCTTGAAGATGCTCATTAGTAAGTTTGGACCTGTGCTTTGACTTCATGGTGGAGAACAGCTTTTCACACATGCATTTGCACTGCATGACACTAGGGGAGGGGTGTCCAATCCTGGTCCTCGAGGGCCACAATCCTGCATGTTTTAGATGTTTCCTTCTTCCAACACACCTGATTCACATGATCAGGATCGTTATCAGGCTTCTGCAG